CATTTTAACCCATTTTACATATTTAATGAATACTAACTGTACCACGTCAGCTTTTCTAAATTAAAAAATAAATTAAAAAAAGATTAGAAAGATTTTCAAGGCCATTTTGTTAAATGGAAACTTGGGACGTTCGGGAGTTAAAGTTTCTCCTCTGTTCCGTCCCATTCGTTCCTCGTTCATCATATTTTGCGAAATGGAGACGAACTTGTTGGAGTGGGACCACTGGGTCGAAGCAGCACTGTCAAAGCTTCGAATTTAAAAAGTGCTTCGCTCTCTAAGTCCCATTTACGTCTCCTCCAATGAACTACAGAAAGAACAATCTCCACCCGTCGAAGAACGTGACGATGATTACGAGGTGTTCGATGAAATGCAACCCTGGGATCGATCTGCCGTTGAAATATCAATCTCTGACTCCACCTTTCACAGATGGCTCCATGGCATTCCTTGTTCTGGTACTTTTGCTCCCTTTCTTTGTCTTATATTGATTAGTTTTAATGATATTTTTATGGGGTTTTCATTATATTTGGTTTTGCTTCCTTTTATCCATTGTTTTTTAGGGATGATATTGCCAAGATTTTAGTTAACGTTTTGTAGGATTATACAATAGCCCCGTATCATATTCATAGTGAATAAGTTAATACATATTGTATTAATTAATACCGTGTATATTTAATGTATATACATAATTCTGTACAATAGGTTTAGGTTGTAAAATTAATTAAAATTAATCAAAAAATACTTTATGATTAAAATATACCCAATATAACATTCATTATAGTATTGCAAATGCTACAGGACAATTTGGCTTACCAAACATTGTCATATAGTTATTGGTGAGCGATTTATGCACTAGTGTCGCACCTTGGATTTTACTTGGACAGGGCTATTAACAATATGAGTGGAGACATGGCTTAGTACTTTATTTGATACTCAACCGTTTCTTTTTGGATTTTCAGGAGATGAGATTGTCTCCAGAGATGGAGTAGCTAATGGTAAGGCCACCACATGCTTTAGGCAGTTCAAGAAGCTACTTCTGTTAAATCTCCTAATAAGATTGTAAACTTCAGATACATGGCTGACACCATTTATGAGTGTATTATACCTTGGATATTTTGCATCTTGTCTAGGAAACGTCACTGCTCTGTGGTTCACAGTCCTCTGAGTGACTTCAACTAGTCTTTTGGAAATATTTGCTAGGTGTTTTGGTAATATACCATATGTTTGACAGATTGCTGGTCTTACTATGTTTATATGTTGTGTTATTTATTTATTTTTTAATGTTTTTACTGCTGCAAATCCTGATGTTTTAACTTCTGGCATATTTTCTTGACGATGTGCTTAATTCTCTTCTTTCTGCAGCTTGTTTAGTTTGGATGGAGACTTTGCACCAATGGTTGAACTCGTGAAGCTTCGGAAGAAGTATGGCTTTTTGTTAGTCTTGGATGATGTAAGTTGTCTTGATGGTCCAGTGTTCTACACTTTTTTTTTTAGTTTATTTACAACTTATTTGACTTCAAGGGTTAGGTTAAGCGGTATAGACTTTTGGAATCAACCAAGAGGTTAGGGGTAAAACACTCCCCAAAGCACTTACTTGGATACATCCAATAAGTTTCTTGTAATCCCCAGTTTAAAATTCATGAAGATTTATGAAAGGTTGGGGAATTTCTAGGCATAAAAGAAAATGTTCAAGTATTTAGCACTTGAAGAAACTGTTATGAGTTTGTCTTTTCCATGACACTTGTTGAGGAATTGGACTACATACTCATTTATTTCTTGCACACTTAAAGCCTTTAAATTATGCTACATAAAAAGGTCTTAACATTTCAGTTTTTCAAAAACTATTCTAATTATATTGATTCTTCAATAAATCATTTTTCAGTTGATATATACATTCTCTTTCCTCTCTTTCATATGCTAAAAAGCTTGTCCAAAATTTTATAGTGTATGGCATAGGGAAAGATGGTATCTTCTTCATAAATTAGCTGCAGGTGTATGCTAGCACCAAGTAACTATTCCTTAACTATTTTCAGGCTCATGGAACATTTGTCTGTGGCAAAAGTGGTGGGGGAGTGGCCGAGGAATTCAATTGCGAAAGAGATATAGACATATGCATTGGCACTCTGAGTAAGGCGGCAGGTTGTCATGGTGGTTTCATAGCATGCAGGTAATTACAAGAACCTGGCCCTTTTTGTTCTGTTAAGAACAGAAAGCAGAACAATTCCCTTACATTGTGCTTTTTTGCTCAAATGTAGGCCTACGACAAGGTTATTTTAGCACTTCAATAGATTTCCTTCGAAATTTTCTCTTTAATTTTCGCTTTTGGTGATTGAAGAATTGCCTAGCATATTGTCGCAGTGTCTACAGACATCTGGTGTTAAACTATTGCAGAAACAAGTGCAATAAAATTGCTTAGAAAGAACGACTTTGAACTTAATGCTTAACAAAAATTTCATGAGTTTCCCCAATTTAAGTTTACATGTTTCTATTGTTGGTATCTCAACAAAAGCAGAAGCCATTTTAGCTTGAGAGTAAAAGTATTGAAGGTTTTTGTAGGATCAAGGATGACGGAACATAATTCCTTTCATTGATACAAACAATAGAAGATATCTACTTTCAAAATTTTGGTTTTGATTGCTTCTTTGCGGATTGATGAAGCTATTTTTTCTTTTGGTGGGACATAGCTGAAAGTTATTGATTTTCGCACAAAATAGCTACTGATGCATTTTATGATTTCTATTTTCTTGTTTGCTATAAAGAGCATCTTATGTGCATATGTACTATATTTATATGATGATGGTTAAGATATGTATAATACTTACCGCTATTCTGAATGTTTCTATACAGCAAAAGGAGGAAGCAGTTCATACAATCTAGGGGTCGTTCTTTTATATTTTCAACTTCTGCATCAATTCTCATTGCTGCTGCAGCACATGGTACAGACAATAATTTTCCTTGAGTTTATTTAAAGAAAATTAGTGGCATAACATTTCTTGGATTGTCTTAGTTAGTTTCCCATTAATGAGTACTAGCACTTATGGAATTTAAATAGATGTTTTAAAAGGTAAAGCAATGGTATGATGAATTGTTGTGGTATAACCAGTTTTGCCACTAGATGTGAGTTCCAATGACAGAGAGCTGAATAGTTATTCCAAATTGAGTTTGGTTTGGGTGCAGGAAATGTGGCATGAAGAGTCTTTTTGTGGTTCAATTGTCCCCTTACAAAATGGTAAAAAGATAAAAATGAGTAAATCCTTTACATTGAAAGAACTGTATTTTATGATGTCTCAGGGCATCTTATGCTTCTAGCCATTACCTCTTGTTGTGGTATTTTCTGTTGTTGACAAAGCAAGTATGACTTAGCACCTGCTGTTATTGTGGCAAAATAGGAAACATGGCGTAGAAGGGCTATTTGGAACCGGGTTCAAGACTTTCATGCTCTTACTGGAATCCGAATCTCATATCCCATTATATCTCTTATTGTAGGGAGTGAAGAGAAGGCCCTCCTAGCTAGCAGGTATCTCCTCTCTTTTCTCTCAGCTCTTTCTGGTTTGTGTGCTTAAAGCCATGGCTACAACAGCTTCATACGGTTTCAATTTTATGGAGCAGGCATCTGTTAGAATCTGGTTTCCATGTGACTACAATTAGACCGCCAACAGTCCCTTCCAACTCATGCAGGTTTGTTGCAGTTCCTTTATAATACTTTTTATACTTTCTGTTAAACATGTCTAACTTAGTCGCATGAGTCTTTCCAACTTTCCTATAATGTTCACTCCTTGTATTTCCCAAGTGTTCCCTCTAATATGCCTAAAACGGTTGTTGATATTGTGAGACAACTTTTCATATGTAGAACAATTTTGGTTTGCCAGTGGCCGAACCAAATTGTCCATTTAGATCCTCGTAAACAATGCATGGTGGAAATACTTTATTGTAACTTATAATGGTACATGTAGCTTTCAAACATATGCAAAACGTGTGTTGGGTTAACAATATACCGCAGATTCCTTTAGTCTCCTGTCTCACACACTGAACTACCTGGCAATGGCTCGTGTTAGAGTTAGATCATGTTCAGTATTCAGTTTAGCAAAGTTGTTCATCCATCAACTAACATACCAAAAATAGAACATATTGGAAATATGTATAGAAAACTGAGAACTTATTAAAGAAATCCACGGAGATTGATGTTATGTTGTATATGTTGTTGAAGATCGGACCAACTTGGGTTGATGTCTATCAACATTGTCAGTTATATTGTAATATTTTTGTATCGAAATGTTTTGCTGATGGTTTACTTTTCTTTTACTTTTTCAGATTACGAGTAACTCTAACTGCAGTGCATACTACAGATGATATAAAGAAGCTCACGACTGCACTCTCTCGTCACATCAACATTGAAGACATTCCCAGCAATAGTTCAAATGTATATTGTAAGCTATAGAATTTGATCTTTTTGGGTTACAAAGGTTTGTTGTAATCTATAATTCAAGGTAACTTAAGTAGATGATCATGATAGTCATCGCATATATCCTTAAGTAGAGCAATTTTGTGAATATAAATCTAAATTTCTACCGTTTCAATTTGGGTATTGCATCACTTGCTTGTAATTAGTAATTACCGATAACGGACAGAAATCATTTTTATGATAATAATAATATAAAATAGCATACAGTGGGGTGTGTTTTTGTTTTATTATTTTGGATAAGATTTTTGAAAAAGTAAACTAATTACTTGAAAGAGTATCGTCCAAAAAGAGAAGTACATTCACATTCTTCAAATAATTTCAATTTGTTCTTTACGTCTTGTCTTATATAAGTAAATCTTAATGGACAAACTGTATCCTTTTAACTTTTTTCAAGAATAAGATCAAAATTCTTAAATTGAAAAATCATCTTGCATGCATGTTATCTCTAAATATAAGAGCCAAATTATTATTCTTTCCTTGTTAAAACAACAAATATAAATATAAACTGTGTGGTCATGATGATGATGATAACAATAAATGTTCAACCCCATTTATGCAAAAGTGGATTTGGGGTGGCTAGAGCCAGCCAAGGAGATGATGATGAAGTTGAGGAGCATCCCCTTCTCTTCTGCCCACACTCCATTAATATTTCCTTTCTTTCACCTCCCACGGTTTGCCTCGTAGCATCCTCTTGCTTTTCAGGTTGCAACTGTAACAAAAAGCATGCCAACTTTAATATATATTATCTTCAATACATAGCAAAAAAAACTATGATAAAAATGAAATTGAGATAGCCAATGAAATTATACATACAAATGAAACAGCAGTGGTGATCGTCTCATTTTGTTTGTTGGGAACCACATTGAGGTTAATAAGAGAAGTTTTAGTGTTGGTATTGATGGTAACAGCAGTAGTTGTATTTTTTACAAACTGGGTCTGGGTGGTGGTGGTTTCAGGAGGAAGAGAATAATCACTCAAAGTGACAGCAAGGGGACGCCTCTCAGGTCGTGGCTTGACTAGGGATGTTGAATGGTTTTCCATTTGGGGAAGGTCGGGAGAGAGAAGGAAGTGTGGTGGTGAGGTGGAGGAAGAGGAAACTGAGGGAGGTGTTGGGACCATAATGAGATCTTCAAGAGGGACTACATCCTTAACCGATATTGTCATGTCTGGCCACATAAAACTCCCCTGGGGCTTGCATATCTTGAAACTACTCTTCAGTCTTTTTATTTTGGCGGCTTTGTCTTCTGGCATTATTACTTTTGTTGTAGCCGCAAGTGATATTGTTGATCCCATTTGTAGTAAAGGTGCTGGGGTTGATTTTGATCTGTTTGTTTCCTCCACTGATGATTTTAGCTTCTCCATTAGAACCTGCATGATTACCATTAATTTATGCAATATATGAAATTAGTTAAAGCTTTAAACAGAGACACCATAAATAACCAATCATCACTAAAATATTAACTAACTAATACTAACGAATGTTTGTTAATCAAGTCCAGCATTAATTAATGTACCACATGTTTTCAATTATGGGACAAAGATTCAAAAGCAGATAAACATATCAGAAATAAAAGGAAACTCAGTAATTGAAGGTTTAATAATTGAATACCTCCATTCCACAAAGAGAACGTGAAACTTCCACCATTTGTCCTTCAATCTTAGCTTTCTTATTCACCAAATCTGTATACATCTCCTGCCAAAACAATCCAACAAACACCGAAAGAGTTAGATTAACAACACTCTGGGGATCAAATCCCCTGTTCACTAGTTAATCATTTACCTTCAATGGAAGCAAGAAGTTTTCATGATCAAAGTTCTGACTCGTATTACAAGAACTTGGAGTGTTCACAACAGCCACGTCATCCTCTTGCTTCTTTAACAAGAACTCCTGCATGTTCCTGTAGATTTCCAAACAAGCACAGATATATATCAGTATTATTCAACATCAATTTGTTATAAGGAAATTAACAAGCCTCAGGCAGGTAGTAACCTTTCCATTTTGGCCATGGCTTCCTTGAGCAGCTTGAACTCCATGGCACAAACAGGATCCTGAATCGGATTATCACCAAGGCTCCAACCAGGCGGTGGAATCCAATAAGGATCCTCAACTCCTGCCTCTTTTCGAATATTAACCAAATCAGCACTCTCCAACCAGTACTCCATAGCTCCGTCGGCGTTGTGTCTCCTTCGAAACCTCTCTCGTCCTCCTGGCGCCACCTTCCCCGCCATGTGTTTCAACAAATGATCCAACAGACCGGTATCCCCAATCAGTTTCCTCGCCTCCAATCTCAAAGCCGGCCTCAATATCGGCTTCCCAAACACCGCTTCTTTCTCTTTCAATATCTTCAACATATTAAGTTCCGCTATTTGATACCTCTCTTTCGACCATCTAGAACTAAAGTTCTTTGTTCCTTTATTCTTCATCATCGTCTTCTTCTCACAGCTAGTAATAAACACGTGCGCCGCGCGCTTTCTCTTCCGATTCTCCTTCATCTCCTCAGGTGACCGATCTAACTTCACATCTTCTTCTTCACCGTCTAGTTTCTCCGTCTCGTTATTTCTGAGGAACAGAAATTTCTTCCTATTACCCCAGTTGAGCATCCCGCTACTGTTAAGCTCAGTCAAGCAGTGGCCGTTCTTGGAAGGTTCCAATGAGACGTTCTTGTTTGCAAGAATCTCAACAGGTGGTAATGAGAGTTCATGAGCGGCTTCCTTTTCGTCCAGTGAAGCCATATTCGTCTTCAGCTCTTCTTCAAGGTTACTGTTAGTGTTAGCCTAAGTGTGTGTGTGTATGGGGCTTGAGAGATAAATGCGATTTCACTGATTTGTGTTAGTAGATATAGATATAGTGCTTGTCTGCCCAAATGCATCATTTTTGCGGCATTGTTTAAATAACATGATGTTGCTGCCTCCTACAAAACGGTAATATGAATAAAAATGAAAATTGAGAATAAAACCAAATCGCATGATAATAATTATGTTTATAAGTGCTCATGCGGCCGCACGTAAAACAGAATCAAAAGACAACTGATTTGGGCAAAACGGAACAGAAGACGCGCTCGTAGAGCACGTGCAGGCAGATTTGATATTTCAATTTGATGGGGGCTTTGTGTCCAGCGTCTAGGGTGAATTTGATTGATGCATCGTTGTGAGCGCGTGGGGTTTAATGAAGTGGATGAGGGTGGTAGTTGTGGGAAAAGTGAGTAACAGAAAAAGAGACTTGTGAGCGCGTGGGTTAAATACTTCAAGCACTAAGATGGCAAAGCTTCAGAGTGGAGACTGGAGAGAACAGCGGTGTGAGAGTGGCAAAGTGTTACTTATAAGATGGATACTTGAATTGAATCTTTTTCAAATTACAAATTTAACACAGATTTTCAAGCCTTTACTCTTAAGATGAAATCTCACATTTACAAATATATTTGCAATGAGTTTATATTGAATGTTATAAATGTCAAAATCAATTGCTTCATCTTCTATATTCACAACCACACTCCATACTAGTACCAAAAGCAAAGTACCATCAACATGATTACAAGCAGAAAAACCAGTCAAACGTCCAAAATTCTACATTTTTATTGCTACCATACCACAAACACTTCTCTTGGTGACCGCGTATAGTTACTGGACATGGATCTTTGCATACATAGCAAGGCTCACAACACACTTGACCAAACAACCTCCATCTATTCTGTGAAAGATGAAACACACTGCTCAGCTTCATGGTATTAGCACAACCGATCCAGATGTTTTTCGGCTCTCCAGGTCTGCATGTGCCTGTGTTGCTTGTGCTAAAGCATATGTATGATTTACACGAACCCGCAAGACACCTGATGCAACGATGGCAAATACCTCCCCAGCAGTTTCCAGCACCTCAGCCTGAGTTGTTGTGTATTGCACGAGAGAAAGCCTTGTCAAGAACAGAGATTTTGGTGTCAGTGCTGATAAGGAAACTGGATCTGGTGTACCAGAAGACTGCCCAAAACTCACCATGTAACCCCGAAGCTTTAAGCATGTCAGTGATCCCTGCATATGGTAAAATTTGGATGTTAAGAACTGACTCCCAACAAATTTAAGAGTACAAAGTAGCAGACCTATTAAACCCAACAACCTTTTACGTCAACCAAAACTCTTAATGGATCAACTTGGTTCAATCTGGCTTGCATTTTAGCAACATTTTACCAAAACAACTTCATTATTGATTTAAATTCTTCTAGAAAATTAATCAGTTCTAGCTTGTGGATCAAATTGCTTTCAATAATATAATTAACGTGCTCCATAACCTTATGGGACAACTAGGAAAGATTCCCCGATTTGTCCTCAAGTGGATACAATAAACTTTTAGTTGTTTAAATTCCAAATCAGTTATCCTAACACAGATGCACTCTTGGCGACTAATATAAGCTGACACGAAATGCAGACTGAAAAACATGAGCATCATTTGAGTGTATCTACTTTAAAAGGTTTAGTCAAGTTACTGCTTCTGTGACAAACCCTATTCTATACAATACTATACTTCCCATTGATTCAATCATCTGTACATAATAAGGAGAATAAAGTCACGTTACCTGAAAGGTGTCTTTTCCTACAGAATTATACAAAACATCTACCCCATTGCTTGATGTTATCTCATTAATGCAGGCAACAAAATCCTCTTCCTCGTAGATTATAACATGGTGACATCTATCATCCTTGGCTTGAGCTGCCTTCTCTTTAGTTGAGACAGTGCGAATAACAGTTGCATCCAGAGCATTTGCCCATTGGCATAATAGAGATCCAACCCCCACCATCATATCCTCCCCCTCCCCCACCCCCACCACCCGCCCCACCCAGCTGCAGCATGAACAAGAATTCTGTGTCCACCCTCAACCTGTGTATATAAAAAGAGAATCACATCCTATTTACTACTGAAGTAAGAAAAGAAGGATCAATCTATCTTACCAGGTCAGCAGGATATCACAACAATCATGCTACATCATTATTAAAATGACTAAAATAATGAAATTTTGAAGATAAATAACACATTCATGATGAAGGCATTTTATTCGAACAGTCTTTCATATACGGAGAATGCCCATATGCCAAACTTTTTTGTTTTAGCTAGCCATAGAGATGTTCAATTCAAGGATAACTTACTTAAAAGTGATGTTCTTCCCAAAATAGTTATATTAGCTTACAATTAATAAATCAATTGTTTTCCTCCAGAAAATCATTTTTTATTGCTCTCTTTTCTATGTTTTATAAGTACAAATGCTCTATGTGGCTCATTCTGCACACATTTATGACAACAACTTTGACATGTACAATCATTGATAAAATGTCCAAATATCAATCCTCTTGATACAAGCAATAATTCTTAAAAATAGCAACCACAATGAGTTTTTCGTATCATATAAGTTTTCTGGCAAAGAACTATTTCGTACCCTGATAATGGAACTTGGAAGAGCAAATGCTCCAAGATGCACATGATACCTACCTTGAAGCAACGACGAAGTAGAAACTGAGTTGTCATACCCTTAAGTATGACAGAAGCTGCAATACCAAGTGAGATAGAAGAAGGAACAGGAATTGCAGGAAGGATCTGCTCTTCAGAATTCATTGGATTGCCAGCGTAAGCCACGATATCTCCAACTTCCCTGCCTTACAGTAAGCCCAGGGCCCACAGCAATCACCTCTCCAACAGCCTCCATACCTACAATAGAGAAACAAAAGTCGTTTAATAGCCTTGCAGCTGATTTATTCATGATACTGCATGAGCAAATGTCCTAGCACCCTGGCTCACCAAGCAGGTATACTTAATCTAACATCATAAAAAACACAGCAACCTAAATTAACTTGGAATCAAATACAGAAAGTAACTTCTAATCAAAGGAGTTTGTTGGCAGTAGCTTAGACCAAAAAGATCACATAACAAATATGATACTTTGAGAATTGTCATAATCAAATTTCAGATTAGATATCAAGTATTATTCATAATCTTCTAGCCATTATTAATCACATAGCATCTTGCACTAACTTACACATCACTTACAGTCTACAGAGAAGAAAATAACAAGGGCTATGCCATACTCAATAACTTGCACAATGCATCTAATAAGCAATTATTGTTTAAATAACTAGGAGTCATTCTTTCTTGAAAATGGAAAATAGGAAATATAAAATAACATGGCCACACCTGGGGTGAAGGGCATTGTGGCAGCCTTATAAACGCCTTTCCGGAAGTAAATATCGATAAAATTAACCCCAAATGCTTTGTTTCTCACGCGTATCTCGCCTTCACCAGGCTCCCCTATTTCCATGTCCTCCCACTTCAGAACCTACCATAATCACGCACAACAAAAAGTAATAAATTATACCCAGAAAACATCTCCATTTACAAAACTTAGTAACAACTCTTGCATTTCCCATATTAATGTTTCATTTCTAAGAATTAAACTGCAAAATTATAAATGACCCAGATTGCATACAAGGTAAATTTATAAAAATTTCATATTCAACGGTAGTGTAATATAATAAAACAACCATAAATTGGAATCAATAATACAACAAATTGATCAGGAAATAAGGAACAGACTACAAACCTCAGGTCCGCCAAGTTCATGAACCCTAATGGCTTTGACCATATTTGATATTGGAGATGCAGAATCGGTGGCAAGTGCTTTTACTTTAGTATATCTAAGTAAGGTGGAGAGGTGTAAGTGGAAGAATCGTGAGAAAGAAGAGGGTTGATTTTTTGTTGAAACGGTGTGAAGCAGAAGCTAAATGTGATAGTTTTAAGTGACGTTCAATATTCCCATTTCCCATTATTAGACCAAAGTATTGACGATTTATTGGTGCTGTTGAATACCCACTCTCAGTGTGCGTGGATGGAATACAGGGACGGTGAAGACCGTCAGTCCATCACTGCGCTTTCGATTTAGGAGATGCTTGTATAAGTTTATAAATTGGTTAAACTAGTTTATAAGTTTTAAAATTAAGTTAATCTATTTATTTATAATTTTTTTAAGTTTGTAACTCAAAAAATTAAGGTAGGATAGGTATTTTTTTTTTTTTTTTTGCTTATAAATAATCTACTTATAAGTTAGTTTGACCAAATTAGTTTGGTTATACCTTTTAGATAACCTTTTATTTTTAAAAAGAAAATGCTTCCTAAACCTACTAAATTTGACACTATCATCTTACATGAAAAGATGTTATATATGTCTTTAATTACAAAATATATTCATAATAGAAGCTTAATAAGACAATATATTGAAATAAATGGTATTACTTTTTTTCTTTAAAAAAAAAAAAAGCTGTTTGTGTAATATTATACTAGAAATTATTAATTAAATGAAAATTGTTATTTTTGAAAATAATTAAATATTTACCAAAAAAATATTATAAAAGCCCTTAAAAATATCATAAACCTTGTAAAAATATTAAAAACCTTTATAGAAGGGGTTTTTCTTTCTTTATAAAAATCGTTAGATCAATTGTATGATAAGATAAATGAAATTAACCCATACACAAAAGAAGTCATATTAATATTACTCATAAGGTGCGTGTGGATCTGAGTAAGATAAGATAACGGGGGTCATTTTTGTTTATTTTGTAAGATTTCGTTGTTTGATTTGCAAGTAATAAAATGTTATGGCTATCTTTTATTATAAATAGTGTTTACTGTTGGTAATCAAGGGGTAATCAGATACTCTCTCTAGGGGCTATTATTAAAAGATTACCAGGTAATTTGATTTTTATATCTATTTTTCTCTTAATTAAATATCATTCAAAAGTCTACCAAATAACAATTACCCAGCCCTTTTACATTTGAGAAATTAGCTAAAACACTCTAGCCACAAAAAAGTTTAAGAGTTAACAAAATACCCCCAATCATCCAAGACCACCGCCGGCCGTCAGCAACCATCACCAGCCAACAGCAGCAGTCACCATAATGGCATACGAATAATGGGATCTGGCTGGTCATGCGCCGTTAAGGCCTTTTCCGACCATGAATCCCATGGCCCAAAAAGGCTAAATTTGGCAATTTCTATGGCCATTTCAAGGCTAGATCTATGGCCATTTCACGGCCTCATCTTTGGCCATGAAACGACCATAGATTTGGCTATGAAACAGCCATTAGTCTGTGATCCATGGCCGAAAATGGCTTTGCCAGTGCACGGCCAGTCGTGCACCATTCTGTCGACTATCGACAGTGGTGACTAGTTACCAGCAATAGACTTGGGGTGGGTGGAGGTATTTTGCTACAAATCAAAGTTTTATATGGTTAGGGTATTTTAGAAAATTTCAAATCTAGGGGGTTAAAACAAATGATTAAAAAAAATAATATTATATTAATATTTAAAAAGGAGGACAATTTAGTAATCTATATAACATACTCACCCATTTATCCTCCCAACCAAACATATTATTCACCAATTTATTTAAACCAATCAAACACATTTCTTAAACATTCTCAATAATCTTCAAGATGATCTATCTTTCCATTAATATAACATTCCTCTACAATAAAATATCATATGATCCAAACACTCCTATAGAGATTACTAAAAAGTCCAGCCTTTATGAAATTTTAGGTCATGAATAATATTTACCAATTAAGTAAGTATTTTTTATAATTAATTTTGTGGTTTATAAGTTCTGCAAGTGGCTTGCTATTTGTAAATGTTGATTGTTTATTAGGGCTCATTGCTTTTAAAAAAAAAAAAAAAAATTGATTAGATTTTTAAACATCTCATAATTAATATTAAAATTTTATAGTAAGTTTAAGTGAGACCAAGATTTTAGTAGAATAGTATTTCACATGTGCTTATTATTTATTCAAAGTCACCATCATTCACACATGCTAAATATTAATTAAAACTAGCTGCAGCCTGCACCTCAACATTACAAGATCTTCATCTTCTCCATAATTGTGGGTGATCAATTCTAACTTAACATACTAAACCTATTTATAATTATTTGATCTCAAACTCAAACTCATTTCATTCCAGATAATTAACCACTGATCTGTAACTAGCTCCCGCCTTCCATCCTTGAGGTATCACATTTTTCGCCACCAGCGTCTTCCCTGAATACTCCGATGTCAATTTAATAGACAACGGAGCATGTAATTCTGAACCTGCATCCAGCTTCCAAACCGCTCCCCACGATTGTGTCATGCTCCTCCATTCACCTGACCCCGAACCCTCCTTTAGATCAACTGCTCCAAGATCTCCATCTCCCTCTTCAAACTCAACCACCACCGCAAAGTAGTTTGGATTTGACCCCTGGTCCACATGGAACACTATCTGTTTCCCTGAATAATCACATGCAACCCTGCAAATTTACACTGCCCCATCAAACTTTTGAGTTACCATTTAACCTAGTATATATCTTAATTGTATTGAATTTATATCTACCGTGCATATTGGATTTGCAATACTCCGGCATCACGAAGTTTTTCCTCCTTTCCGGGAATTGCCATGGAGCCGAAAGCCGTGCCGCTGAGGTCAAAATGTGCGGAATCGGTGGCACAAGCACCTCCGGGGCAAAAATCTGTTATCACCACCCTCACTGGTTTCCCAGAACATGATGGGTGACTGGTACATTTGACCTGATTGATCATGGTGGACACTATTAGTGATGAATTTCCTATTATAATTAAGTTTAGAAGAAAAATAAGTCACGGGATATATAAGTCAAGAACTTGTTGAATTATTAAAGTAAAGTGTTAGCTAGAAACAAAACAAATTAATCCGAACAGTTTATAATTCTTTTTAGAGAGTCTAAGTTTCTCGCAACACAAAAGTGCTTTCATTAAAGTAGTTTCATTTGGTAACGCTGAACACGTTGGGTTTATCTTTACCAAACCCAAACTTCACATAATACACACAGACGTCTGTGTCTATCTAATAGTACTACTTTTTTATTATATAATATCAAAAACACTTTCTGGAAGCAGAATTTTGAGTAATATTCATAAATATACCTCATAACAGGCACCACATTCCTTGCCAGAATCATAAAGATTTGGGCCAATTGCAGTGACAAGAGAAGAGAAAGGACTCTGAGACACAGCATTACCATACCCACAAGAACCTCCTGCATGAACAACATTTAAATAATTCACTCAACAATATTAATAATAAACATACATATGCATGCGTGTCTCTCTCTTCTATATAAATATTTATACACATTACCGTCGCTTCCGGCACCATCTGGGCTGCCGTACCAGGTGGCTCCGGCAGGCGACCACTGGGTTCCAGTGGATGACAAGTTCAAATGTTTTGGGTAGAAGCAAGAAGAAAGCTGTAAGTAGCAAAAGAAAGCTACCAAATAGTAGAGGAATAAACTTGCCATTTTCAGAAACAACATATAAGAATTAAGAACTGCTATCAGCTTTAGCTATGATTATTAATCCGGAAAATTGCTGGTATTTATAGAAGCAAAAGCATGTGCGTAGTCGCCATCGATCCATGCAATCACAATATATTTATAATTATTCACGGCTAATCTCTTTGTCCTGACGTCCAAATACGACGTTAATTTTGTAATCCCTGAATATATGCATGTAATCAAGTTTCAATTTATAGAAATTTGTTTGTACGTTGCATGCACCGAAATTCAAAAAAAAAAAAAATTTAATTTAATTCTAATGTTCAATTTATATCATCAGTCTCACGTATGCATTGATTTTATTATCCATATCAAATCGTCTAAAAATATTAATTTGGGTTGAAATTAATGATCTTTTTGAATTAAGTCATAGTGTAAGTGATTTAATTAATTAAATGAAGTAGAAAAAACCATGGCCGGTTTGAAGCGGGGCCAGCTCTTTGATCTTTGATTACAACATTTAATTTGTAATCCTGTGATTAAATACTATTTTCTCCATGTATTTTGCCGTTGATAGTGGTTATTTATCGTTAATCCCTCGAGATTGTGTCCAAATTTTTTTCAAGATTTTATTGATTCGATGGCCGTGATTGAATTGAAGGGACCCTTAATTTTGGATTGATTGATGTTAATTCATATTTTATTGATTTGGGTGGAAGTTATTCAACCGTAATAAGTATATTGATGGTTGAGTGTTTGGATTTATCTGTGTATAAAATCAACCATGATATGTTTTTTTTCTAATTTCTATGAGAACGAAGTCTCACCCACCGAATCTATCATTTTCCTCCCGATTTTGCACTTTATCTTGTATTTATTTTGTAAAAGTTATGTTAAGATTAGTATACATTAATAGAATTAAATTAATAGCTAGCGGAAAAAAAAAAATTAAAAAGGTAAGACTATATGAAATTGTTTGTAAATAAATACATTTTATATTTGAGTGAGTAAATGACATGTTTCGGTTTAGCGAAATCTTAAGTTGATACCTTGATTACGTTTATTTTAGATTTTTATCTTTAAATTAACAAAAAACTGTTTAATATAACGGTAAAGGGTAAAAAGGTCATTTGAATTGCATTAAATCTAAAATAGAAATGAAAATTACAAAATAACCTGCCATAGCAAAAATTCCTCTCAAAGCACCCCTTCTCTCTACAAATTAGCTCGTTTTTTGTCAGAAGTGTCAGCGTCATTGTCGGCTGGTTCGAGTCGATTCCGACCGGTTTTATCACTAAAATTGGCCAAAATCAACTAATTTTCGCAAATTCAACCCTTTCTTACCTCGAATTAGACTAGATACCACCGTTTTCGCTGTCACCAACCATTTTTTCGCCAACCGCCTCCTATCTTTCTAAGTCAAATTCTGGCCAAATCTGGCGACCAAAATCAAATCTTCCAACACCCTTCTAAACGCTGGCCTTCGTTCTACAAAACTCCTCAAAACCCGTCACCTGGTTTCCCTCCAATTGTCGGGCATGAAACGCTGCCCTCTCATCGTTGTTTCTTTGTGATTTGCTTAGTTGGGAGCTTTCTGGAGGTTGATTTTTGTAGTTTTGTGTTTGTTGTTGCTATAAAAGTGTTGTGTTGTATCTTTTTGGACTGATTTGTGGGTGTTGTTTTGGGTTTCCATCATCCTTAACCACTCCCAACTCTCCCCCTCTCAAGTGCATGCCAGATGCTCAAGGAAAAGACCCACTGGCGATTTGAGGGTGCACTAGGGAAGGAAAGGTAGGGGTTTTGTAGTCGATGATGTAGGGAATCTGATAGTAGTGTTAGTGGTGGTTTCCGGTGTCAAAATCGATCAGAATCTGGCCTAAAAGACGAGAAAACGCGTAAAGGGACAGTGGTCATTGGTTGGTGATTTGAGGGTGCACCAGGGAAGGAAAGTTAGGGGTTTTGTAATGGGTGATATGGTGAATCTAATGGTAGTGTCAGTGGTGGTTTCCGGTGTCAAAATTGACTGGAATTTGGCCTGAAAGATGAGAAATGCGCAAAGGGATAATGGTCGTCGGTTGGCGATTTGAAGGTGCATTGGGGAAGGAAAGTTAGGGGTTTTGTAATGGGTGATGTGGTGAATCTGATGGTAGTGTCAATGGTGGTTTCCAGTGTCAAAATCGACCAGAATTTGACCTAAAAGACGGAAAAACGTGCAAAGGGACAATGGTTGTCGGTCGGTGATTTGAAGGTGTAATGGGGAAGGAAAGTTAAGGGTTTTGTAGTGGGTGATGTGGGGAATGTAATGGAAGTGTTGGGGGGTTCGATGTTGTCAGAATCAAGCCAAAATGAGCTTGAGCCGGCGCTCGATTTGGCAACAAAGGAGAAGAGGAAGGAGATGAAGAGGAAGGAGATGAAGAAGAAGGAGGTTTGAGGGTAGTTTGGTAAAAGCACCCTTTGCTCTTGTGTCATAATCCACCCATCACTAACGACGTCCATTTAAGGGTGAAAATATGGAATAAACGCAACTAGAGGTATCAACCTGGATTTTGCTAAACCTTGGATGGAAACCTATCGTTTACTCTATTTGAGTGGATAAAGGTCGGACGGCTTAAATTACTCAAGGTTTCCACATTATATACCATCTGTCGTACTTGTACCTATCTATGCTTGCAAATGAACAATGCACGAGGACAAATTTTAACCTTTTTATTATTATTCTTTAAAAACAAAATTTTGATACTTCTTAAATATATTATTTGGTCCATATTTACGTATTATTTCAAATTTTCATTTTTGAATTAGATAGAAAATTATGTCTTTAACACTTATATTACAAAGCCTTGTCGTGGGATCATTTTCTAATATGAATATTCTTGAGCTTTAAATAATCTTGTAATTAACGTATCTCCTTTATTATTCATGTGTGATTAAATTTATTTGTTTATTATAATTTTTATTATTAAATATTTATGACGAGTTAAAACTTCTTCTAGTATGAAATAGGATGTTCATTTTTGTTTCTAATTTGTAAAATAGAAGGAAGTTTTTACTAATATTGACCAAATTAAGGATCCTTAAACATGGATTATGCATGGCAAATGTTGATTAAACTAAAAACAAAAGGGGTGGATCATTTCATGGACTGGCAAACGAGCCCACAAGAGACTGCACAATAGTACAATACGGGTATAGCTTAAGCCCATTACTTTATGGGGGCTATGGCTATCCATTTCAACTGAGCCCATCTGAACATATTTAAGGCTTAGCGCAATTTCAACATTTCCAATTGAACCAGCAAGTAAGTATAAATGGCTTGAATTAATTAGTATAAGAATTGCAGATGAATATGTTGTAGACATAATTTTGAAGAAATTTTAAGAAGAACGTGATTATCCATTGATTGATCAATTATCTTGTAAACTCCTTAATCATCATTCATTTATCCAATTATCAAATTTAACACTGATGAGATCCGATTTAGAATTTGCTTCGAAACATTTACAAAGAAGATAGATATCATTGAGATCTTATCACAAGGACTTTATGAATGTATTAAAAGAAGAAAGAAGGGAAAAAATAGATATAGAATTGAAGAGAGCGAGTGAAAAAGGAAACAAATTAGTAATATAGAAAAAGATAATATTGAAATTTGTTTATATAACATCTAGTAGAGTTAAAAATAAAAAATAAAAAATTACAAAATTAATTCAAAAGATCAAGGGTGGTTGCAGTCCCTGCTTCAATGCTAACATTAGGTGCAATCTTCCTTCCAGATACGCCTAATGGTCTAATCCAACGCACCAACGATCATTAAAAGGCCAAACTGATGCTGCAACATGATGTCCAAGCAGAACTTGATGATTTAATACGAGCAAACTCAATCTCAAAAACTGTTAAACACCCATTTCAGAAAATCATACGAAGAAAATATAGGCCCCGACTGCCATTTTTTTACACAAGTTACAGGTATTACTGTCATTGCATTCTATGCTCTGATATTGTTCAGGACGGCTGGTCTGGGTGAAAGTGCATCACTCATGTCCACCAGCCTTATGCTACAGGATCAACATTCATATCGATGCTTGTAGTCGATAAACTTGGGCGAAGAGTATTGCTTTTAGTTGGGGGGATCCAAATGTTTGTGTCACATATAGTCGTTGGAGGGATTATGGCAACTCAGCTGGGTGATCATGGTGGATTGAGCAAAGGGTATGCTTATATAGTCTTAGTTCTGATATGCATGTTTGTGGTTGGATTTGGGTGGTCATGGGATTGGGGGCCATTGGGATGGTTGGTTCCAAGTGCGATTTTGCCCTTGGAGATCAAATCAGCAGGGCAGAGTATTACTATTGCAGTGTGTTTTCTCTTTATTTCCATTGTTGCACAGACATTTCTAGCTATGCTTTGTCACTTCAAGTCAGGGATTTTCTTCTTCTTTGGAGGATGGGTGGTGGTGCTGATGACCTCATTTGTGTTCTACCAGAGACTAAAAATATGCCAATTGAATAAACGGATAAAATTAAAATTAATACATTGAAACTTCAACTTGCAATTTTGTTTTCTATTTCTGCTTCAAAACAATCCAAAATATCCAGTCACATTAGAAATAAAAGGATAATCATTATATTCCAATGTAAAGCAAATATTAATTCATTACATGAATCCTTCTCTCAATTTATAATTTCCAAACTAATGCCAGAAAATCTCTTTCCAGGGAAACAAAAAAGATTCTCCTTCAATGATGAAGATTGTGATCACATATTCTTTTCTCTCTTGCCTAATCTGTTCAACAAGTAAAATACTAGTCATAAGACTCCAACCCCACATGATGCTAGTGCTACTACTATATAGTCCAACGTACAATTGATATTTTATTTTGAATATTCTTTTCTCTCTTGCCTAATCTGTTCAACAAGTAATATACTAGTCATAAGACTCCAAATTCTCTTCCATGTTCAACCCCACATGCTACTACTATAAATTCCAACGTACAATTGATATTTTATTTTGAATATTATATCTCATATATACTTTTATGGTTCATCTCTACAAGTCATTATTGAAGTCAAGAGTGGCAGCTTATTTTTGTCTTTAACTATCTACAACTTTGAACTTAATTTCTCTGTGTTCTGTGACTGTGAGTGAATTTGGAAGAAATTTCAAGCTATCAGCCATGGCAGTCGGTTTAGCAATAACTTCTAGTGAAGGCAGGCAATACAGTGGCAAAATGACTTTGTTTGTTGTCTTGTCGTGTATGATGGCTGCCATGGGAGGAGTTATTTTTGGCTATGATATTGGAATTTCAGGTTTCGTCTCTTTCAATCCTTCACCTTTAATTTTTCAGTTTTCTATTTGGTATCCATTGTTTCTAGACTGCAGTTAGCCTCCAACTTCTCTTCAACAATTTTTAGGATACAATATGTTACATGTTTTACCTTGCTTTTGTCAATCATTTATTTTCAATAAAGTTCATTTACCCTGTTTCAACCTTGATTATTTGGCTGAGTAAAATATCTTTTTTATTTTTTATTTTTTATTTTTGTATAGCAGAGAGCCCTTCTTAAGTGCTAATCTTGATTCAATCCAGTTCACCATTATTTAGTCTAAAATTGTTAGGTCCAAGCAGACTTCTTCCTTGACAATTAGTTGTAGCTTACAGTTTTTTTTTTATGTTGACCTGGCATCTTATCTGATACATAGTATATTAATAAACACTGAATATCTTAAAAGGATAGAAACTAACATGCATTCATATCATTTTTTATGTGTCAAAACTTCTTTGTAGACTCACATTAACGTAATTATTAAAAATATCACAAGAAATAATATAAATTATGGACTACATAGACATAGATTAGTAAAAATGTGATAAGACAGAAGAAACGGTTGACAATAATTGGGAAAACTTAAGCACTTACCAATTGTTAGAACTTAGTCTTAGATAAATAAGAAACAAACATAAAACCTGTAGGCCTTTTGTCTGTTTCTTATTAGGACAATTTAAAATATGTCACTCTATCTCTTTCCATCTTTTACTTTTAATTGTATTTGTACTGGTGTAGACTGGAGAGTTGAATTTGAATTAATGAATTACTCACAATTAGTGTCAAAATGTTAGTCATATTATCTTGGCAAGGTGAACCTGATTAAGAACATTAAATTTTTATGAAGGTGGAGTTACCTCAATGGAGTCATTTCTGAAGAAATTTTTCCCGGAAGTGTACACGAAAATGAAAGAAGACACAAGGATCAGCAACTACTGCAAATTTGAAAGCCAACTGTTGACCTCTTTCACATCTTCTCTCTATGTTGCTGGTCTTATCGCTTCCTTCTTTGCCGCCTCCGTCACCAGAGCCTTTGGCCGCAAGCCCTCCATCTTGGCTGGAGGCGCCGCCTTTCTCGCTGGTTCAGCCTTTGGTGGGGCTGCAGTTAACGTGTATATGCTTATAATTGGACGTGTCCTTCTTGGAGTTGGAGTTGGTTTTGCGAACCAAGTAATTGATTCATATACTTCTGAAAATGAAAAATGAAGAAATTTAATATTGGCATTGTACTTTTGATGAACATTATTTGCTGTCTTGGGGGTCTTTTAACATGAGCGTCTTTATTCGCTGTGCAGTCAGTGCCACTATATCTCTCAGAAATGGCACCACCAAGACACAGAGGAGCAATCAACAATGGCTTCCAATTCAGTATTGGCATTGGGGCTTTATCAGCTAATTTTATTAACTATGGCACACAAAAGATTGAAGGTGGCTGGGGCTGGAGAATATCTCTAGCAATGGCTGCAGTCCCTGCTGCAATACTAACACTAGGTGCCCTTTTCCTCCCAGAAACACCCAACAGCCTCATCCAACGCAGCAACGACCACCAAAATGCCAAGCTGATGCTGCAGCGCGTCCGAGGCACTCCTGATGTCCAAGCTGAACTTGATGATCTGATCAAAGCAAGCTCCATCTCAAAAACAATTAATCACCCATTTAAGAAAATCATACAAAGAAAATACAGGCCTCAATTAGTAATGGCGATAGCTATACCATTTTTCCAACAAGTTACAGGTATCAATGTCATTGCATTCTATGCCCCACTCCTCTTCAGGACAATTGGACTAGGTGAAAGTGCATCACTCATGTCCGCTGTTGTAACTGGCCTTGTCGGTACAGGATCCACATTCATATCAATGCTTATAGTTGACAAACTTGGCCGAAAATTATTGTTCCTAATCGGAGGGATTCAAATGCTTGTGTCGCAAGTAATGGTTGGAGGGATCATGGCAGCCCAGCTAGGTGACCATGGAGGATTGAGTGAAGGGTACTCTTATTTAGTATTAATTTTGATATGTGTTTATGTAGCCGGGTTTGGATGGTCATGGGGGCCATTGGGTTGGTTAGTTCCTAGTGAAATTTACCCATTGGAGATCAGATCAGCAGGGCAAAGTATCACTGTTGCAGTGAGCTTTGTGTTCACTTTCATTGTTGCACAGACATTTCTGGCAATGCTTTGTCACTTCAAGTCAGGGATTTTCTTCTTCTTCGGAGGATGGGTGGTGGTGATGACTGCGTTTGTGCACTTGTTTTTACCAGAGACCAAGAATTTGCCCATTGAGCAGATGGAAATAGTGTGGAGAGAGCACTGGTTCTGGAAGAGAATTGTGGGGGAAATTAGTGAAGAGAGTAAAATGCAAGAAGCTTGAATATTTCAATTTACAAACATTATTGGTGACATTTTGTACAAGTTTCAGCTTGCATATGTGATGCATGATAAATTTAATTTGATAGTAAATTGTTCAAAGGTAGAATTTTTTTGGTCAATATATAGTTGATAAATATTAATAAAATCAATCTAAATGTGATGTATGATAACTTAAATTTCAAAGTTTCATTCAACTTTTATTCAGTTTGACAAACCAATCTAATCTAATGTATGAGTAATATCATATTGCTAATTTTTTTGTATTAAAATAAACGATAAAAAGGTAATTAGGTAAATATTTATTAATCTATCACATTATCAATTTTAATAATACCCTAACATCATGGGGTTTATATTATTTCTAAAATCCCATTATTTAAGAAATTGTCGTAATTGAATTTCAGATGAGATATCACGCATTATTCATAATCTTCTAGCAATTATTAATCACATAGCAATTATTTAAACTTGCATTTTATAAAATATTGATGGTAAAGAGAAAAATTGGTGCAACGTACAGCTTTATTAGGATTTTCTTGGGATTTCACTGTTCATTAATTGGACAGGCCCGCTCAAAGCCCATTATCTAGATGGTTAAAAGCCCATTATAATACTTTTTTTTAATGAGCTTTCAAATGAACCCAATAGGTAATTATGAACCCAGTTTCACATATGGGTCAATTTTTTTGGGCCATAGGTAAACCCAATAGAATTATAATTGGCCATAGATAAACCCACTAGAATTATTGGACCTGTCTTCACACTGTTCTAACTAAGGAGAGATTGGTCGGTAAGAGCTATTACTATTTACTGTAAAAAGAAAATGTTATTTATCATTTTCCATATGCAGACCCTTCACAAAACTCTTCAAAATCTTTACCAAACTCCAATCTATTATTATGTATACAAATTTATTGGTTTTACTATTCATTTGGTTAAATGCAGGTGACCGAGATTAACATCATTCTTCCTCTTTCCAGGTTGTTTGAAAGCCCATTTTCTTAAGTTCAAACCATACCCCTACATCACTTTATAATATTCAGGATCAGATAGAGACATTAGAAGCAGACAACAACAAATTACTACTGGAAAATCAGGATAATGCATAACCAATAGTAAGAAAAATAAGTTACAAAATGTATCTTCTAATTCTTGGAATCCCAAATCTATTGAGTCTTGTCAATAGGGACATATCCAGGATTCTGATTCAGTGGGTTCAAAACATCAAAATTGATAAATTTACAATAAAATATATACTGAAGTAATGAGCATAAAAAATATACTTTTAAAAGTTATACATACAAAATTATCAATTCTACAATTGTCCTCGACCTTTTTTCATATTCTGAAAACGTTGCATAATCCCCAAATCTTTACAACTTAGAGTTTTATTAATTTTTTATACCATTCAAAATTAACTCAATAACTAGCCAAAATTTATCAAACTCAACTTAAAATAACAACTAATTAATTTATACCTTAACATAAACAAGAATAAATCAAAACCCACATTAAAATCTAGTAATTTAATCTTCTGATTTCAAACTCATTTACTAAACTCAGCAAAAACTCATAGTTCATAATCTTTCATCAATTAAGAAAGCTAAAAGAAAAGAAGTTTAAGTAAAAAAAAAAAAAAAAAAAAAAAATGAGTATTATCTTACCTTGTACCAAAGGAGTGACCTTTCTTGAGTATTTAACCAAAGGAAAAATATAATATGAGAGAAAATGAGAGGAAATGAAGAAGAAAGAAAAGTTGAAAAACAGTTAATTAATAATTCGTGAGGTCAATATGAAATTAAGTTGGATTAAAATTGTAAAATTCATAAAATATTAATACTTTTTTGAAATTTTTAAGAAGTTAAGTGGATTCAATTGAATTTGAACCTACAACTCTCTATGTGACTATATGCCTGTTTGTCAAGCCTAATGGTGTTTGGCATATCAATCTTAAACTACATAATACAAAAATAAACTTTCAGTTCATGGATGCAGTTTTAAATCAACATTTTCACGAATTCCAGATCTATATAAGCAACTGAAAATTGCCAAGATATATTGAATATCAAATATTAGCACCTTGCATAAGTATGCAGCATCCAGCTTTTGTCTCTTGGTAGCTAGTTTCTCAATCAAATAAGAATTTTGTGAACACTTGTCCGTTTTGCCTTGCAACTTTTGAAATCTATAAAGTTAAGAACGAGCAAAGAAATATGAAAAGAATGCCATATAATTGAAGAGGCCAAAAGAATTCCAAAAAACAGTTCTACCAAGCTTTATATATTACATATGCACTTTTCTCAATCTTGAGTGAAAAACTGATAATGCAGAGAAATGGTGTGAATTGTGTAACCGTCATAAACCATAAGGTACTTTGAGAAATAATAAGCTTTGGAGTTCTTGAGGTTGAGTGTGCTTTGCCAAATAGCTTGCTGTGGGTTTCATTAAAGTTGAACTCCTTGATAGAGATGACTTGACCACAGACTTGGTTTTGGATTTTGGAATATCTTGGTCCATGTGATTACAGAAATCCAGGCCTGGAGAAAGTTATACACAAAAAGATTAGATGTGAAGGAACATTTTGAAACTCCTATCTTGGTTATATCACACATCTAGTAAACATTAGGTATTGAGAAACTGCATACATATGTTGATAGCTTTAATGCAAGTTCATGAATATCAGGCAATCAAAATGGTAGGCTATTATCAATAACATGATGTTGCATATAGTTTAAAGAATAATCCTTTTATGGAAGAGGGAAATGGAGTCAACTAAAAAACTTCTTCCAGAATCTGGCTCAACTCAACCTTTTTTCCCAAACTGCTTGCTGCCAAGTTGTCAATGACTCCTACATCAGACCCCTCCAACCAGGACCCTAGAAGAGATATTCTGCACAAAGTCCTTATCTTTTACTAGCCTTGTGCATAAATTGGTGGCTGTTTCGAAGAGTGGTATTCAAGCACTTTTCACTCAATAGTCAAAGAATTTTAGCACCAGTCCCCCCAAAATCTAACAGCAAAATATCAAAATGCAAAATTACAACTCCACTAAAACATATGTGCTTCTGTTACATACAAATCATTAATAAATTGCATTGAATTCACGCTTCCCATGTTTTCACTACGGGCTAAAGAAAAAATGCAGGTGCCTATACTTTCTATCCGTGGAAAATATGAAGAGAGGTACTGCTATAATGACCTCCTTTTACATTAATCTCTCTCCAAGTTTGTTTTAGAAAATCCTGAGTGTATGCATCCTGCCCTATCAATTTGCCTCTTCATACCAAAATGCATAATCCAGTAATTGTATTTATAAAATCAGGACTGTAGTATTCATTTTATTCATGTAATTGTTTCACTTCAGCTCATTCAATCTCTCTTTGTTACTTGGTAGAGGGGTCAAGGAACAATGAATCTAACGTATTGTGTCATCATTTCTAATATGGATCATCATACCGGGAAAAAAAAAGTTCTGAAACTATTCTTTTTCTAAATTAAAGAGAAAAATGGGTAAACAAAATAAGAACCTCTGTCATCACCTCTTGAAGAAGCGTCAGAATTAGTACCAATAGAACTCATGCTTCGCAATAGTTGCTTCCAAAATCTTGAAAAGCTGACAGAATAAGCGCCAACCGTGAGAAGACGATGATGGTTGACCCGTCATCACTAATTTATTTGATGAAAACTTGAAAAAAAAAAAAATATATATATATGGAATTTAGCGAGTTAGTTATAATAAGATGAGCAATATTAAATCACATAAGTAAAAAAATATATAAAGTAATATTTTTTAAAATATAATGACATTTTTCCATGTAAATACATTTGATTCATTTTTTAGTTGGTTAATAACACAAACAAACCTCTATAATTAGGATTAATATTTAATTTTAAAGTATTGTGTATTTAAAGAAAAATAATATATGCAAAACGAATTTTAATTATAAATATAAATATTCTTGTGTGATAAATTTATGATACAATAAAAATTAAATTTTTAAATCATTAATTACGTTTGCAAATGCAAATCTTTTTTCCCTTGAATTACAATTGCAAAATAAATGATGCTTTCGGACCATGTTGCATTTAATTATAAAAATTACACAGTCTTAATTACCAAAACTTTTTGGTGAAGAGAGCTTCTCATAATATTAGCCAATCATACAATCATCATTCTTTCATTTTTAAATTCAGCACAACCACAACCCCACCATTCCATCTTCTCTTTTCCTACTAGATTATTTGATCACTATACATAGGGCTCACGCATTACGCAGGTATGTTTATCTAATGTTTTTGAAATAGGTTGTAAGTAAATTTATTATAACGGAATAAAGTAATTAGATTAAGAGATGATAATTGTTAAATTATACAAGTTTTAGAGTAAATATAAATTCTACATACGTACAGAGTTGTGTTAAGATAAAATTAATAATTGTACCTTTATAATTATTAATATCAATTAATATTATCATTATTAATTATTTAAACTTAAAATTTATATTGAGTTCATTTTCAGGTTTGACATTGACTGGTAATTTTTTTTCTCATAGTATAGGATTTTCTCCAACCAAGGTTTGAAAACAAACTTCTATTTACATAGTTCCTTCAAAGGTTTTTTTTTTTTGTTTTACAGTTGAGAACATGATAACTCAATTAATTGTAGAACTACAAAACAGAATATGAAGAGACTAACTTCCATCTTTATACGTTTTTATTTAAAATAGTTAGATTTTTGGAATGCCTATGTAATGTACTTATATAATTATTCTTAATACTCATTAAATATGTGAAGATGGAAGAATTAAATCAAAACCAACGTGTCAAGATGGAGAATTTTTAGTAGATTCATTAAACAGTAAATTTAATGTGTCAATTAAAGGAACAATTTTCAATTAATTAATGAGTAACATCAAAATCAAGATAAAGTTAAATATAGAGAATAATACCTTTATTATAAAAGAAATGAGTACATCGGTTTGGACGATGTAGACGGTGTTATTTTCTATTCCTCTTATAGTTGTTCAGTTCCTCTAGTGCACATGCATACTCTCTTTTGTTTATGTTATAGATAATATCCATGGCAGATTGCATGATTTCTAACATCTGGT